ACACTCAAGAGTGCACATGCACACACATACACTCAAGAGTGCACATACACATGCATACAGTCAAGAGTGCACATGCACACACATATACTCAAGAGTGCACATGCATACACATACTCAAGAGTGCACATGTATCACACACTCAAGAGTGCACATGCACACACATACACTCAAGAGTGCACACGTATGCAAATACACTCAAGAGTGCACATGCATGCACACACACTCAAGAGTGCACATGTACACAATACACTCAAGAGTGCACATGCATACACACACACTTAAGGGCACTAGCCAACAGTTTCTTTCCTTTGGCTCTTTGGGACCCCTACCACATCCCAAGTCTCTGGACATCATTTTATTTATTTATTAATCTATTTATTTATTTAGGTGTTTTTTAGGGTTTCTCTGTAGCTTTGGACNTCCTTACAAAAAAGAAGCTGAAGATACTGTGGCTTGACCTAATTCCGTTTTCTTTTTAAGATTTATTTATTCAATGTATACAGTATTCTTCCTGCATATATCCCTATAGGCCAGAAGAGGGTGTCTTATCTCATTATAGATGGTTGCAAGTCACCATGCGGTTGCTAAGAATTGAACTCAGGTCCTCTTAACTTCTGAGCCAATTCCTCAGCCCCAGGAACTAGCTCTTGTAGACCAGGCTAGCCTTGAACTCACAGAGATTCTCCTGCCTCTGCCTCCCAAGTGCTGGGATTAAAGGCGTGAGCCAGCCGGGCGGTGGTGGCGCACACCTTTAATCCCAGCACTTGGGAGGTAGAGGCAGGAGGATCTCTGTGAGTTTGAGACCAGCCTGGTCTACAAGAGCTAGTTCCAGGACAGGCTCCAAAATCACAGAGAAACCCTGTCTCGGAAAAAAAAAAAAACCAAAAAAAAAAAAAAAAATAAAGGCATGAACCACCACTACCTGACTTATTTTTATTTTTAATGTATCTGAGTGTTTTGCCTACATGTATATATGTGCACCATATGCATGCCCGGTGCCCCTGGAGGCTATAAGACGGCATTGAATCCATTGGAAGTACAGTTAGAGATGGTTGTGAGCCATCATGTGCATGCCTGAAACTAGTCCAGTCCTCTGCGAGAGCCATCACTGAAGCCCCATTACATATTTTTAAGATTTTTATTATGTGTGTGTGTGCACATGAGGAGGCCTGGTGCCAACCTCAGGAATGCCACCCACCTCCCTCTCATTGGCTTGGCACACACTAATGAGGCAGACTGTTTGGCCTTCCCTCTGCCTCCTCAGTGCTGGGATTACACAGCGTCTCTTTGCTGTGGTAACTGTGGATTTTGAGGACACTGTCCTGGCTTTAAGAGCTGGGTCCTCACAGAAAAGCACAATGAGATTTGAACCCAGTGCAACAGAGAGACACTCAGGACACACAGTCACTCGACAGTGGACACCAGAGAGGCCACAGGCAGAAACGTCCCAAAGCAGACAACGTCGTCAATCCTGTCTATATGTTAGTTTCAGAGTCATACTTTCCAAATAGCGAGAAAACACATTTCTGGTTTTTCAAGCTACCGAGGCTGCGATCCTGTGTCCTAGGTGGGACTGACCTTGGGGCACTGAGCAGCCGCTGCTGGAGTCTACTGCGAAACAGCTGTATTTGGGTTGTTGCATGGACCTGTGCACTAGCTCGTGGCAGTGGAAATAGTGAAGATGTAGAAATGCAGCCGGATGACCATCAGGTGAGTGTGAGCAATTGCAAACTGATGGAGAAGTCTTTCGTTTATGTAAGGCAGGGGCTCTCAACCTTCCTAATGCTGCGACCTTTTAATGCAGTTCCTCGTGTTGCAGTGACCCCTCCAACCATAAAATTATTTTGTCGCCACTTCATAACTGTAATTTTGCTATTGTTAGGAATCATAATGTAAATATCTGATATGCAACTCCCAAATGGGGTTGGGACCCACAGGTTGAGAACCAGCAATGTAAAGCCATAGCATCGTATACTAGTTATTTACCATTGTAACGAACCACTGCAACTTCCCTGGCTTTAGCTAGCAAGTGCTTACTTCTTTATTTATCATGTGTATGATATATGTGTATGAGTGTGTGGCATACATATGTGAACATGTGCATGGCTACAAGGCTGTGTGTGTGTATGTGTGTGTGCGCGCGAGTGCACATATGGAGGCAATGGTCAACTTCGGGTGCCTTCCTCATTTGTAAGATGCTCATTAACTGAGCTCACTGATTGGCTAGCCTGTTTTGGCAGTGAACTTCCGGGATTTGCCTTGTTTGCCCCTTTCCCATGCTTGGGGTATAGACATGTCACAGCACCTAGCTTTTTATATGGGTGCTAGAGATTTGAATCCAGGTCCTCATGTTTGCACAACATGACTATTAGGAACTGAGCCAACTTCCCAGACCTACACGGAGCCTGTAGGCCGGGACTCCTCAGCCCTCATGCCCTTCTGCCACATGGAGATAGCATCCCACAGAAGAGATCAAACATACAGAGGCCCAAGCATCTTGTGACCTGTGTGGCTGCCATGGGGCTCACTAGCACGTCCTCCTGTGGGTCCACAGCTCTTTGGATTGGGGTAAAAAGCAGGTGTGAGTTTCAGGGGTTTAGGTTCTTTGCACCCACAAGAGGGATGTGGGCATGAGGATGATGGGCCAGGAGGGTGAACAAAAAAGCAGGTGTGGCCAGCGTACCTCCTGTGGGTGAAGGCTGAGGGGAGGTACCATGAAACCCAATGAATGCAGAGGCCAGAGAAGAGCAGGAAGACCGGCCCCAAGCTGCGGAGCATCTGTGCTTGACCCTAGGCCACCGCCTGGGTTTTGTACCAGCCTGAGTATCCATGATATCCTAGAGTGGGTATGGCAGATGCTAGTGGGCAGAAGACTCTGAGTTCATGCCCCCTCTCACTGACCTCTTGCCCCTCTCGCAGGGAGGGAAGGCATACCACTCTCAGTGGGCACCAAGGCTCTGGACACACTCTGTCTTTGCTCAACATCTGGTCCTGTCATTTGCACCCAAAATCACTCTGTTCTCTCCTTCCACCATGTAGGTCCTGGGGACTGAACTCAGGTCATCAGCCTTGGTGGCAAGTGCCTTCACTCAGTGAGCCAGCTCACTGGATCTGTTTTATTTTTGAGATGGGGGTCTCACTCTAGCCCGGGCTGGCCTAGAACCATCTTCCTGTCTTGGCTTTCCAAGTGCTGGGATAACCAGCATGAGTTGTTACACCGGATGACATTTTGTAAGGACCTGTGGTACTGGGTTAGGGCCATGTGTGTGAACTCGCTTACCCTTTGCACCTCCACTGAGGTGCTGCTGCCAGTCACACTAGGAGCCGGACACTAACCTGTTCACATCAGGGATGTGCCTGATACCTTCGTTCCTTATGGGATGTCTGTCCTGGGCGATGTCTGTCCATTTGCAATTCTCATAGGTCTAATGACTTGGTCACATCTTACCTCTAACACTTCTGTAACCCAGTGATAATGACAGGCTTTCTAGTCTGGCCTCCCACAGGGACCCATACACTTGCTAACAGTAGAGGATCATGGGAGGATTGAGGTAGTGGTGATGAGATGCCCTGTGACCCCTGTGGTCATGGACAACACTTAAACCCTGCCTATTATAAGTCTGCATTGGAGTTGGCACACTGGGTAAGGGTATCCCCGGGACTCACAGGCCAGGCAGTGTAACCACACGAGTGAGCTTCAGGTTCAGCGAGAGAACCTGTGCTGAGAAATAAGATAGACGGTCTCAGAGGAAGAAACATGACATCAACCTCTGCCCCACCCCTACACATGTGCTTGTACACACACACAAACACACACATACACACACAACCTGAACTACTCAGACACAGATATGTATTTACACCATCAGCTGGCCTTGTGCTATTACATATGAGAGCATCAGGGCTTTAACTGTTGGGTTCTAGTGCCACTGTGAATTACTACTGAGGATCCTCATCTCTCTCTCTCTCTCTCTCTCTCTCTCTCTCTCTCTCTCTCACACACACACACACACACACACGGAGTGACTTGTGAGCAGGTCACAAGATGACAGAGCTGGGAATGCCTGGGACAGGGGCAGGCATGTTTTTTGACATTCTTGTGACTCAGGAGTACACAGGTACAAAGAGGGTCCTGGCCACTGTCCTCTCCTGGACTCTTGCTTCCTGCAGGAGGTCCAGTCCCTGCCCAGCACAGCAGCAGCTTACTGGAAGGAGACAGACCCTTCCAGCAGAGGAGGGGTGGGGTCTGTGGTTTGAAAGAAAAGGGCCCCCCAAGGGAGTGTCACTATTAGAGGTATGAGTTAATTGGAATGGGTGTGGCCTTGGCGGAGAAGTGTGTCATTGTGGAGGCAGGATTGGAGGCCTCCTATATGCTCAAGCCACACTCAGTGTCTCAGTTCACTTCCTGTTGCCTGCAGATCAAGATGTAACACTTCCAGCTCCTTCTCCGGCACTACGTCTGCCTGCATGCTGCCATGTCACACTATGATGATAATGGACTGAACCTCTGAAAATGTCAACCACCTCAACGAAATGTTTTTTCTTTATAAGAGTTGCTGTGGCCATGGTGTCTCTTCACAGCAATAGAAACCGTATCTGAGCTCTGGTGCCAACACTGCAATAGCTTTCAGTTCTCACTGGGCCCCTGGGTAAGCCCTTCTATGACTCCTGCTCAGTTGTATCATGACCCTATGTAGGGCTGTGTAGATGCTACCCTTGGGGGACCTCCTGTGGCTCAGGGCTCCAAGCTTTGCAGGAGTGGGGCAGGAAATAGAAATAGGTGACTTCATGTCACCTCCTTCTCCCTGCCCCTTTGGAGCATAGGCCTTGACTAGCCTGTGTATGTACTGGGGGTTGGGCAGGTAGCTCCCTTCATAGCCCTATCAGGCTGAAGGCCCGGTCACACAGACACTGTAAGGGCAGAGCTTGGACACACTGTTGGGCTGTCTAGGAGGGCAGCTGAACCAAGGAGTGAGGCCCCACCCCATCGAGTCACGGCACACACTTGCTGTACCTTTATTGCACTCTCACCTCACTGCAAACTACTCCACAAAAATGTCCCAAGGTTCGCCTGCTGCCTTGGGACCATGAGCCCTGCAGAGTGCCTTGGCACCCACTGTCCAGAGCTCAGCCGAGGCAGGCAGTGTCCACTGCCAACGAGTAAGGCCTGGCTACTGTGCAGCAGCGAACAAGTGGATAGCTGGTCATTTGTATCCAAAGCCCCATTCTTGGGCCCTCATCTGCCCACGCACAGGCCATGATGTCCATCTGAGCCTCCCCTCCCTGGAGCTCTGCAGCCTGTGAGGGAGGAGGCCCCGGGAAGGGAGAGCAGAAAGTGGATGTCATTGAGGGCCAGAATGTGATCTCATCACCGGAGGTCCTCAAAGTGGTCCAGAGGTGATCTCTGATCTGCTGGGTGGATCTCCATCGACGGGAGTGTGAGCCTTTTGTTAAGTACAAAACAGCGAGTCAAGGTTCCTCTTCTGCATGTCCAGAGTGCTTTGTCTGGTCTCTGCTGGATCCAGAGGCCCACACATCCCTATCAGATGGGATGACCCGTCCCATCTGAATTCACTGAATTCACAGGTGCCTAGGCTCTGCGCTCCTTCCTCAAGGGCAGTGCGGGTCACTACCTCTCGGTAGCGGCTCTGTGCTCAGTGGCTAGGTCGTCCTCCACCACACTGCTCAACCCGTCCTTCTCTACACAGTCTCGCACAGCCTGCAGCACTATGCGCAGCCGCCGGTCCAGGGCCTCCAGGTGCAGCTGGTAAAGCACAGGAGCCACCTTGTCACGCTGCAGGGACTCGGCCATCAGCAGGCTCAGTTTGTGCTCCTCCTTAGCCAGCAGCTGCAGCTTCAGGTAGGTGGATCTCCGGATCCTGCGGGGAGAGAGGGGTGTCACCACTGTGAAGGAAATAGGGTGGGGGCTCTGGCGGGGTGGTATCTGGAGAGAGATAGAGATAGAGATGGGAGGAGAGACACAGAGAGAGAGAGGGAGAGAGAGACATAGACACACAGATAGAGATATGAAGACAAAAGACAGAGACATGGAGAGACAGAGATACTTAGAGAGAAAGAGATAGAGCTCAGAGACAGAGATGGAGACATAGACAAGTAGGGGCATGGGTAACTGAGCTAGAGAGGCACAGACAGAGCCAGAGAGGTGAACAGAGGGAGACAGGGGGACAAGGAGCCCTGAGACCCCAGACCTCATGGGTCTAATTTATATGAAAATGGGTCATTCTAGATCAGTGGTTCTCGACCTCCCTAATGCTGTGACCCTTTAATACAATTTCTCACGTTATGGTGACCCTCCAAATACAATTATTTTCATTGCTATTTCATAACAGAATCTTGCTACTGTTACAAATTGCAATGTAAATATCTGATATTCAGGACCCCCGTGAAAAGGGGTCGTGACCCACTGGTTGAGAACTGCTGTTCTAGACATTGATACAGTCCTGTACAGAGGGGCAGGTGACAGGACAGGCGCCTCAAATTCTGAAGACAGACCCAAGACTGGGCTGACTGCTCACCAGGGAGACTGTCCCTCTTCAATGGGACAGTGATCCTGATCGGGTACAGTCTGTGTCTCCCAAGGGATATAAGTAATCTGCTCTGGGAGCCTATGTCCAGCCACCAGTGTGTGTGTGTGTGTGTGTGTGTGTGTGTGTGTGTGTGTGTGTGTGTATTTGAGAGGCTGTGCAAAGTGGGCAGGGTGAATTTAGCATCAATGAGCAGGACAGACGAACCCTTTGTCTACTTGCGAGAACCCTTATAGGTGGGAGGTACCCAGGTGAGGCTGAGGGGAGAGGGGCCAGCAGGAGCCATGGGCAGTGAGGTGGGATGGGCTCGGTCTGTGGATGCCTGCCCACTGGTGCTACAATGGGTGGGGGCAGGCTCTGCCCCCTGCCTCTCAGGTAGTGATGGTGGCAGCTGAGCAGGAAGAGGTCCAGCCAGGCAGGGCTCCTACCTGCAGCACTGATGAAGAGGCGCTAGAATGGAGAGCTCATCGTGTGAGTATTTCCCAAACCTGTGGGAAGAGAGGGTAGTGCGATCAGAGCCCTAGGAGCTGGAAAGCCAGGCGCGGCACAGGGGCCCAGCCCTGAAGGGTCCCACCTCTCAGTACCATGGTGCCATAGTACCATGGCAACCTCCTGAGGATCATCGATGTCAAGGCTGACCCTGGCCATGTCCAGCACTGGCAATATTGTTTTTGCTTTGTTTTTATAACTGGGGCTAGTAGTCTACCTTGTTAAGCAGAGGGTAATGGCCTCTCCCAGGCAGAATTGGCTGTTTATTGGCCCTTCTTGTCAAGCCACAGGATCTCTGGCACCCCGTGGGAGTTTTCCTTGCCAATGCACATCCTGATGTGTCCTAGACCCAGCCTTTCAGGTGATTCCCCTGCCCCAGAGACTGCTTCTCAGGCTAGGCTGGTTCTCCATGGATGAGGGATGGCTGGCTTCCCAGGGTCTTCAAGGGCACAGAAGACTCACCCGCGTCCGTTATCCAAGTGTATGATGAAGGTCTCATTCCCGAACTTCTCAAAGGTCTCGTAGTGATGTCGGTCCATGTTTCCTGCAGGGACAAGCATGTACAACTGCTCAGAGGCCTCTGCCCCTCCTGAGCTGTGGGTCACCAGGTGGTGACCCTAAACACCAGTCAAAGGTGTCTAGGCGTTCCTGGCAGCCAGCACGCCCTGCAGGACGTACCCATGAGGAAATCAAAGACAGTCATGTCCATGATGTCCAGGATTCGGTGGCCACTGTCGTAGGGTGGCGTCTGCTTCACCTCCTCACAGTAATCAGGGTCCACTTCCCATCTGTGGTGGGGAGAGGGGGGCATAATGAGACCAAGGTTGAGGGTCTCTCCTCTGAGTGAAGAGGGAGGTCTGGGCCAGATGCTCGGCACCTCCCGGCTCGGTAGAGCCTGGGTTAGTAGGTTCACACTTGGTAAGGAGGGTTCACAGTGGGGATGGAGTGTTTGCAGGGACACATCTTGAAACAGGCTATGGGGCTGAATTAACAGGAGCCTGGGAGAAGATGAAGTCATCCTTCCCGCCCTAGCTGGGACCAGGGCTGAAGGCACTGTCAGCTGATGTCATGCTTTTTATTAGTACCTGGCAGGCAGAGGGTGGGGTGGGGTGGGGTGGGGGAGGTTGTGTTTTGAGAGACCCCAGTGGCAGGTCAGCACCTCTCCTAGCTCTGTGTGGTTAATAGGATCAATTTGACTGCATTTAGCATTCCCATGGAAACACGTGTACCTCTGGGTGTGTCTGTGAGGGTGTTTCCAGGGAGTTTTAACTGAAGCAAAGACCCACTCTGAGTGTGTGTGTGTGGCACCATTCCCTAGGCTGGGGTCCTAGGCTGAATAAAACAGAGAAAGCGAGCTCAGCATCCACATCCTCATGTCTCTCTGCTTCCTGACGGTGACCAGCTACCTCGGGCTTCTGCCACCATGCCTCCCTCATGATGACGTACTGCTCCCTCAAACTGGGGGCCAAAACCATCTTTGTCAGTGACGAGTAACCAAGACACACGGCTGCTACTCTCACAGAGGCACAAGCGGAGCTGCCTTCACACTACCCTTGCTGCTGCTGTTGAGCCTGAGCTACTGATTCTCCCCTCCAGGCCCTGTGTCCTTGGCTGTGCAGTGGGCAGAAGCCAGCCCATTAAGTCCCAGGGGTGCCTGACTTACTCGGCCTTCTTTCGCTTGTGGTAGGAACGACGCCAGGGGTTCCGCCACGTCTTCCTCTTGGCCAGCGACAGGTCAGGCAGAAAGGCTGCCAGGGAGCCTTCGATCTGGTCGGGTCTCCCGCACAGGGCATGCTCCGTGGAACAGTAGTAGGAACATTCCCCATAGAAACAGATGTTATTGGCTGAAGAAGGGGAGATCCAGTCAGTCAGTGGCCACCACTCCTAGAAGCACTCATAGGGCTGCTCCAGAGGCACCTTTGTCCTCACAGCCAGGACTCGTCACACAGTGGCCACCATCGCCCCCCAGATCCCATACCCCGGAACACCCTCAGAGCAGCCACAGGGAATCAAAGTCAGACCCTTGCCAGAGCTACTTGCTGCTGACACGCCAATCCCCTCAGGTCCACCCAGGCTCCTGAGAGTAGAGAAAATGCCAGTCAGACACCCAAGGGAGAGAACTTTAGTATTTACCTGCAAAGAACACATACAGCCTAGCCATGAAAGGAACCACATACTCAGGCAAAGGCATGAGCAGGTCAGGTTCCAAAGAAAGACAAATGGAGTCTGGACAGGCAGAAATCAGTGCAAAGGCTGCTAATACAAGGAGGACCTGAATTCCAGCCCTAGCACTCATGTAAAAACCCAGGGACGATAGCATATGCTCATGATCCTAGAGATGGAGAGGCAAAACCGGAGAACCCCGTGCCTCTCTGCCAGCCAACCTGGCCTACTTGGTGAGTTCTAGGTAAAGGTGAAGGAAAATAAAAAGAAGGAACTTGAGAAAGGCTCCCAAAGATGAACATGCATAACACACACACACACACAGTCATAAAGCTCATGGGAAGACATCCAGTTAGCTCCTTCGTCTGGGAGACTCACACCAAACCCATAATGAGAACTGGATCACGCCCTCTTGGATGGTTGTGACCAAAGGGCCATATGGTGACATGTGTGAAGGAGGTAAAGAGCCCTGGGATCCCAGCAGGGTCATCAAATGATGAAGACGCTTGGAAGTCAGCCTAGTGGCTGTCAGAGGGGTTCATGTGTGATCGGCTCTGACCCAGCTGCTCCAGCTGGGGTTCCCAGCATGCGAGGCATATGGAAACATTCCCATTCTCAAGCCTGTGTGGCTCACACAGGAAAGAAGCTGCCCAGACACCATCAGCCAACAGCAGAGAAAGGAAACAGTTGGCTTTCTTTTTCTGTTTTTGAGACAGGGCTTCATGTAGCCCAGGCTGGCCTTGAATTTACTATGGAGCAGATGAACCAGGACTTGTATGTGTACACACATGCATGTAAGTATACACACGTGTGCGGGGAGCCCAGAGGATAACCTCAGACGCCACTTCTCAGAACACTGTCCACCTTGTTTTGGCAATGGGGTCTCTCCCTCACTGATACTTGCCAAGTAGGCTAGGCTGACTGGCCAGCAACTACCAGGGAAGCCCCCTGTCTCCATGTCCTTATGACTGGAATTGCAAGTGTGACCCCACAGTTAGCATTCATTTATATCTATTTATTCATTCATTTGTTTGTTTAAGTATTATTTATTTTAAGCATGGAGTCTAGGTTTGAGCTGGGGTACTTGGGCTTGCAAGGCAAGCGCTTTACCAACCAAGCTCTTTCCCCAGCCTCTGACCTTGAACTTCTACTCCTTCTGCTTCCGGTTCCTAAGTGCTGGGCTGCCAGTTTGCATCACTACACCTGGTCTATGTGGTGCAGGGGAAGGAACTCAGGGCTTCGTCAATGCTAGGTAAGCAGTCAACCAACTCAGCCACCTCCCTGACGACTGCGGATGCTTAGAACCTCAGTGCTGGGGATGTTCAGACAGGGAGATCCCCGAAGCTTGCTGGGCAGACTGTCTAGCCCCATCAGGGAGCTCCAGGTTCCATGAGAGACATGGGTAGCTAGACATCGAGGAAGACACCTGATGTCAACCTCTGGAGCACACACTGGTAGTCTGAATGTCTGTGGCCCACATAAGTTCAGAGGGAGTGGCACTATTAGGAGGCGTGGTCTTGCTGGAAGAAGTGTGGCTTTGTTGGAGGGGACTGTAGGGCACGTGCCTTTAATCCAGACCTGGAGACTGGAGGGCACATCCTCTGTCACTGTGGGGGTGGGCTTTGAGGTCTTTTTCTCAGGCTTCCCTCCGTGTGACAGTCAGTGAACTCCCTGTTATCTGCAAGATGTAGCATTCCCAGCTTCAGCACCACGGCTGCCTGCACGCTGCCGTGCTTCCCCCTTCATGATCTTAATGGACTGAACCTCTGAAACTGTAAGTGAGTCACCCTAATTAAATGTTTTCTCTGTAAGAATTGCCGTAGTCATGGTGTTTCGTCACAGCAATAAGAACTGAATTAAGACACACATACGCATGCATGTGTGAATGCGTGCATGCGGGGCGGGGGTCAACCCATAAAACTGACTCTGCAAAGCCACCTAGGCCATACAGCCATCAGTCGGGATGGAGGCTGGAGAACTGCCAGGACCAGGTCTGGAAGGGGTAGGGATAGGAGGGGGGCATGTGTTATCTATAATTCCTGACACACCCGTGGGCACGCAAGTCCTGGCTGGTCAGGCTCACTGCCTCTCCTCTCCCCTTCCCTTCTTGGCCTCATCACCCCTCCCTAGTCAGTGCTGCTAATTAAGGTGGAAAGGATCAAAAGGAGACCAGCCTACTGCAGCTCCAGGTGCTGATGCAGTTCAGCCAGCTGCCCGCAACTGAGCCACCTCCACCCCAGCCTAGGGCAGAGAAGCAGGGGAAGGCAGGCAAAAGACCAGTCTCCAGGAGAGAAAGTTCTATCCCGTCTCTTGTCGGCCAGAACCATGAAATTGGATGCCTCTGTTAGCCTGCCGGCCCTACCTAAGCTGGGCTCTGAGCCTATCGTTTTGAAAGAAGAAAGGAAACCTGCTTCTGCTCCCTACAACCTGGTGTCACAGAGGCAGGGATGACTTGCAGAAACCAACGGCACAGATGGCCAGGGTGTACGAGACATATCAGGAGAAACAGAGACAGCAAAGAAATGTGTTCCTTAGAGCTGGGGGCTTCAGAGGCCCAGCCGCGCCTCTCAGCTGTGTGGTGCTGGGGCCCTCAACTGCCCTCCCTGAATCCCCAGGAGCTACCCCACACCCAGGATGGAGCTTTCACAGGCTCCTGGCTTGAGTTTACGAGGCCTGCCCCACCTGGAAGGGAGGGGCATGCACCTCCTGACTGACCCAGAACAGAGCTGCTCCAAAGTATAAGGGTGTCTGTCTGCCGTGATCAAAGACTTCCCCGCTGTACTTAGCTCTCAGCCGCAGCAATGGCAATTTTGGCAGCGGAAGGATCTAGAAGCGCAAGCAAAGCAGAAACAGCAAACCCAAACAGACCTGGCTTTTCTAAAGGAAGATCAAAGCTGCCTCCAAGACCCTGCCTGTGCTTCAGAGGAAACCAGACATCTGGAACGTTCTCAGAAGAAATCTGGCTGATGGGGCAGAATGCGGTCTGGCAGGGACAGCTAGGTGGAGGTGGCTGTGTTTTAGAGTGGCCGGTGACAGCCAGCTCTGCAGAATGCCAAGAGTGAAGCATTCAGGCCAGTGAACCACCTTAGAGGGCCCCTGACAGCCAGGGAAGATTCTTGGGGTTCATGCGGTGGGGGGAGGGGGGACAACCAACAACTTGCAACTGACTGGCAAGCCTCCCTGTGAGTTGCAAACCGGGAGCTGTGGGCCAGCTGATGGGAGCAACACTTGCAGGGGATGTAGGGAGGAGACATGTAACAGCTGGGGCTCACCAGCAGACCCAGTGTGGGACGCTGCATGCAGGGCCATCAGCTAAGGTCCCCTGTTGAGGACGGGACGGAGCTCCATACCAACAAAGATGCGGTCAGTCTTTTGTTTATTAAAAGCAAATAGGGCCCCAGGAAGAGCTCAGCTGGAAAGAGCTTGCTGAATGAGGACCTGAGCGAGATTCTCAGAACCCACATTAAAAAAAAAAAAAAAAAAACTGAGCACTGTAAGCCAGGTGTGGTGGCTCAAGCCTTTTAATCCCTGCACCCGGGAGACAGAGACAGGTGGCTGTCTGTGAGTTCAAGGCCAGCCTGGTCTACAGAGTGAGTTCCAGGACAGTCAAGACTATACAGAGAAACCTCGCCTAGGAAAAAAACAAACAAACAAACAAATAAACAGGAGGGCACTGAGGCTCACACCTGTGATGTCAACTTTAGGGACGGTAGAAATGGTTGGATCCCTTCAGCTCACTGACCAGTCAGCCTCGGTTAACCTGTAAGTTCCAGGTTCCTGTCTCAAAGCGTGAAGTGGAGAGAGATTGAAGGAGACACCTCATGCTGATCAATGGGCTCTGCATGCACCTACTTGTGCGTGTTCGTGTGCCAAACACAACGAAAAACAAACGAAGTCCAGAACCCTGCACTATCCTAAACGACTAAGCCCACAAGATACTGACCCTGCGGCAGGTGACCTCGGTGAGCTCCTACCTCAGAAGCCCTCACCCATGACTGCTCTTGGACCCCACATATCCTTGGACTCACATACCCTCGTGAGTCCACCGTCTTTCGGAGGGGCTGCTGGGGCCCTTGGGCCACAGAAACCAGTTTAGTAAATTCCTAACTTGCTGCTTCTGCCTTCTCCTGAAGCCCCCCGTTCCTCCAATTCATGTTGGGTGATTTCCTCAACTGGATCCACCCAATGACACCAGCAGGTGAAGAGCCAAACTGGAGGTGGCAAACCAGCTCCACGGAGACTTATGAAGTTTGACATTTGAGGTGACATGATCTCACATCTCGAGATCACAGTGCCAAGTCACAGAGCCAGCTAAAGCAGAGAGAGCACAGGGACCCAGCTGGGACAGACGGCAGCATGGTCCGGCAAGGGGCAGGAGGCTTAGGGTCCTGTCCTGGTGGTAGAGGGAATTCACAGATGTCTGTATTAGAGCATCCAGCTTGATAAATGGCATCTTTAATACCATACAGAGGGCCAGGGAGGTAGCAGTTACTGGAAAACAGGAAGATCTAAGCCCCATTCCCTAAACCCATGTTAAGAAAGGAAGGAAGGAAGGAAGGAAGGAAGGAAGGAAGGAAGGAAGGAAGGAAGGAAGAAAGGAAGAAAGCAAGCAAGCAAGCAAGCAATCTGGGTATGTTTGGTGCACACTTGCTCCAGCACTGGGTAATAGAGACGGAAGGCTCCCTGGGCCTACTCAGTGAGCTCCAGGCCCAGGAGAGACAGACCCTGGATTTAGAACAGGGTTAAAGGTCCCTGAGGAATAGTAGCCAAGGTTGGCTTCTGCCTGCAGATGCGTAAGCACACACACATGCAAACACCTCCCACACGCACTCACATACCGACAGACATGCACACGTATACACAAAAGGTGACACCTCCATCACAGACCCATCTGGGGAAGCAGGAGAAGGTAACAGATGTGCCGAGAACTCCCGATCTGCTGCTCTGGCACCTGGACCCTCCCTACCTGGGCAGAGAGATGGGCACCAGTTGTCAGGAGGTAGAGTTCAGTCCCTCCGTGTCCCCAGCTGTGGACGTCCCATGCCCTACTATCCACATGCTGTCTGAGAACTCTGGGGGCTGTGTCACCTGGGCTCACAGCTGCAGCAGGGGATGACCCCTGCCACCAGCCTGGATGCAGAGCCAGCAGCTCTGCCGAGTGGGCGGCCTAGGAGAGTGACATCACCCAGCCTGCCTGGCCTCAGAAGGGCGTGTTCTCAGAAGCGACTGAGCGACTGGCATTTAGACCCCTGCCTGACCTGCCCTGGATTATCTTTATCTCCTGTCCTCCCTTGAGAGCTCAGGATGGAGGTCTGAGCGGAAAAAGCAGAGTGCTGGGGCTTGAACGGCTGTGGGTCAGCCACTGCTAAACAGTGCCACCTCCAAGAACAAGGAGAAAAGCACAATTAAAGCCGCAGTCAGGCCTGGGGAGACGACTTAAGGGTCTTGGCACACAAGCATGGGGACCTGAGTCCATCCCCAGAAGCCACATTTCAAAAGCTGAATGCTGTGGCATATGCTTGTCATCACAGTGCTGGGGTAGTGGGGACAAGAGGACCCCTGGGGCTCACTGGCCAGTCAGCCTAATGTAATCGGTGAGCCCCAGGTCCCAGGGAGAGACCCTGATTCAAAAACACAGGGTGGACTTAAAACCTGAGGTAGGATACCTATCTGAACAAGTACATACAAACATGAATCAGCACACACACACACACACAAATGAGTATATACAAACATGAATCAGCACACACACATAAATGAGTATATACAAACATGAATGAGTGCACACAAACATGAATGAGTACACACACACATAAATGAGTACATACAAACATGAGTGCACACACCTATAACACACAAACACGAATGAGTACACACATACACATACAAATGAGTGTATACAACTGTGATTGAGTGCACACAACTGTGAATGAGTGCACACAATTGTGATTGAATGCACATACCGACTGGATTAAACGGTGCAGCAAAGGACAAGAAGCAGTGAGGCCTTCTGGCAACAGTCAGGCTTCAGATCAGCCCAGGTGCCTGAAAGGTGTGCATAGCTGGGGGTATGGTGGTCAGTCCCTGTGGGCAGTGGAAGCCTAGATGCTAAGATCTGGGGCTGCAGAAGTGAGTGGTCACCAGGGCCTGTCCGTTCAGCGGAGGTAGGCAGCGGTCAAGGTGGGAATCTCAGCAGAAACACAGAGGCCCCAGTCTGAGGTGGGTTTCAGCCCTTTCAGAGAAAGTTTCTATCTACAGCGCAGGCTGTCTCGTGGGCCCAAGCAACTATGAGTGATTTACTTTTAGCACCGCTAACCCCAGAGACTCTCCACCTAGAATTGTCCAGCTCTTGATAGAGAGTCCCAGGGACCAGGGACCAAGGGAAGATGAATGTGTGTCTCCACTTATTCAAGGAAGTCTCCCTCCTTCCATGTATGTGTGTGTGTGGGTGTGTGTGTAGGCCACAGACGGACATTGGGTATTTCTCACTGTAACTGGAATCCCAGTGATCTTCCTGTCTCCATTTCTCATACTGAGGTTATAGGCATGTGAGGGTCCATGCCCTGCCTTTATATGGGTACTGTGGGGGGACATGTGAACTCATACCCTCATACTTATGCAGTAAGCATTCTTAGCCAGCTCCCCTATTTCCTCTTATCAATGGGATCTGAGATGGTGGTTGATGGAAGCGGAGCTTCAGTAAGGCGTGGGTTCACGGCCTCGATTCTGACACATTTATGAATGTAGCTCAGAAAAGAGCCGCAAGAGCTGATCTGCGGAGACGACAAGCCAGAGCTTTTAGGTCGGCTTTTGTGCGACTCCAAGACTGCAGATAAAGCTAATGACGGCCTTAATTGGATGATCTGCGGGAACTGCAGGGGTGTGAGGCACGGTGGAATTCCTGCCCGCACTATCAGGAGAGTGCGGGCAGCAGCTCTGCACCCCCACCCCCTACCTCGTCACTTCAGTCTGCTTTGCAGGATGGCTATGGGACCTCTGGCATCTTCAGAATGTATCGTGCAGAACAGGCTGGGATGTAGCTTAGCTGGCAGAGGGCTTGGCTAGCACAAATGAAGCCCCAGTTTCCATTACCAGCACCACATAGAACAAACAAATAAACAAACAAACAACAGGTGCTGCCTCACATACTCAATCAATCAATCAATCAACTTAGATGCACAGTTGGACCACAATGGAAACTCCTCTGTATGAGCACAGGAAGGTGTCACTAAGAGACCATATGTCTGCAGATTGGTACACATACATGTCACCCACTGACGGCTGTATGACTACCCTAAGTGGACACAGCTGCTACACAGATGAATCCTATGATCTCTATGATGGTTAATATTGACCGTCAATGTGACAGGTTCTAGAATTGCCTAGGAGACACACCTTTGGGCATGCCTATAAAGAAGTTTCTAGACTAGGTTAAATGAGGTGAAAAGACACATTCTCAATGTGCACAACACTAACCCATGGGCTGGGATCCCAAACTAAAAAGGAGAAAGTGAGCTGAGCACCAGCATCCATCTCTCTCTGCTTCCTGACTGTGGATGCCATGTGAGCAGCTGCCTCACGCTCCTGACGCCACGCCTTCCCTGCCATGACGGTCTGGACCCTGGAACTGTGAGTCACATAAATCCTTCTTTCCTTAGGGCACTTTTGTCTGGACATTTTTTTTTCTTTTTTGGTTTTTCGAGACAGGGTTTCTCTGTGGTTTTGGAGCCTGTCCTGGAACTAGCTCCTGTGGACCAGGCTGGTCTCGAACTCACAGAGATCCGCCTGCCTCTTTGTCTGGACATTTTATCTGAGCAACAGGAAGAGTCACCTAATCCCTAATCTTCTTAGGGTTGACCAAGGCCAGCACGTGACCTAAGCTGCGTTAGTCCTCCACTCCACCCCGTCCTCAGCAAAGGTTACCCGGAGACACAAAGAAGGTTCTCCACAGCTTCTTGTCCCGTGTGACGTCCCGGATCTCCTTGGTCATGTTGATCGTCCTGCCAGCCACAGGAGGGACTCTGCGGAAGTCCAGGATCCTGGTGAGAGAAGGTAGGGCAAGGAGTCTTTACTCCCGGGGCTGATTCTCACTGTCCACAGAGACCAGATGCTCTACCCTCACTCTCCAGCCATCTGCCGCCCGAGGCCCTCGGGCTCAGCACAGCCCAGAACCGTCGTGCCAAGAAGATGTGCACTCCGGAGGGATTGAAGCCTCTATGTCTCATTCACTGACTCTGGCCCAGCCTGATAACTACAATGGGCCCTCATTCCAGGGCTAAATTTAAAAGGGAATTAAATTAAATTACCCACTCTTAATGGGGGCTCTTTCTGCATACATTGCCGCTTGCTTAATTAAATGGAGATGCCCGATGCTAGCTAGCTTTTTCCTGCTGACACAGGATGTAGAGAAGAGTTGTCCTCCGTGGACGGGTGGACAGAGGGGCAGGACAGCCTACATTCCCGTGATGAGGGGCCCCAGGGCTCCACAGGACAGCTGCAGCCAGCATCATGCCACCTCAAGCGTCATGGTTCTGTCTTCATGTGTGGGTACACATGTATGTGGGTTCATACGTGTGGGTGCAGGCACATAAGGTCACCTTGAGTTCAGTCCTCAGGCACCCGCCAACCTTGTTTTTGAGACAAGGTCACTCAGCAGCCTGGAACTCACTGATTGAGTTAAACTGACTGGTTATCAAGCTCCAGATAGGTTATCCTTCTATCTCTACTTCCCCAGTCCTAGAACAGCAAGAGTGTTACCGCCATGCCCTCTTTTCAAATGGTTCTGCGGATAGACCCCATGTGCAAGCGCTTTACTGACAGAGTTGCCTCTCCAGCCCCATGGCTGGCTTATAAGGTGGTGACCTGAGTCATGGTTTTAGAGTTATGGGTTCAGGACGCTTAAACGTCTGGGGATTTCTAGTTCCCAGGTAACGTCTGTGATCTACACCAGTCTCCCAGGACCCAGTGAGAAAGCAGATTCTGGCTCGAGGGTCTGAGACAGCGCCTGGTCTCTGTAGTCTAGCCAGCCCCATGACAGTGAGCTAAGACCTATGTCTAGCAATGGCTGTGGTGCAGTCTGGAGGGTCTCGAGGACTGAATGCAGAGTCTTATCCCTCTGCTATTGCCTGGACAGGGGTACCTCTGTACCCCCTCAGAGAAGACCCCAGGGTCAGGCCCATGAAGAGCTCCTCAGGGCACAGGCAGGGCTACCTGGAGTCTATGGTGAACCAGATTCTGCTGGGTCAGGGCTGTCCCTTAAGGGGCAGGGGACAGAACGTCCCACCTGTTGTTCCTGAAACACCAGTTCCTCCAAGGTGATCTGTTAAAACCCACAATGCCCAGAACTTCTCTCTGCCCTCATTCCTTTCCCCTTTATTCCCAATGTATCTGCCATCTGCTCCTGCTGCTCCTTGCTGGGTGCAAGGGGGTTGGGGCCCACCAGGATCATAAATGTCACAAGGGCAGGCTGGCTCTGGTTAAGGGTACGAGTGGCTGGCTCTCCTGTAGCCTCACTTTCTGGTGTCCAGGATTAGTACGTGAGGCTGGGAAGACAACGTAGCCTGAGTTCCTTATCTAGCAATCAAGTATGGTGGCACACGCTGGTAATCGCAGCACCGAGGGACAGACACAGACAGATTCTTGGGGCTCACTAGCCAGACAGCTACCAGCCTAGTCTATGTGGGGTGATCCAGGCCAGCGAATGATTCTGACCGAATGACCCGAGGTCCTCCAGTGCAAGCCTGCACACCCCTGTGTGTACCCCCACGCCCCCCACACTCTGATGGACCTGTGATGGTTTAGCATGGAGCCGTTGTGGGGATAACGATGGTGGTTGCATGGATCCCTAAGACCAGGCCTCTCTGTAAGTGACAAGCATGGGTACACAGATGAACCTGGGTCTAGATGGCTCTTGGCGGTATGAAGGGAGGGGACTCACCTGTTGTGGAATATTAGTTTAAGAAGTGTTACACCGGGCGGAGGTGGCGCATGCCTTTCATCCCAGCACTTGGGAGGCAGAGACAGGCAGATCTCTGATGGAGGTGGGTCTTGTATCTTATCTGTTGCTTTCATTGGTTAATAATAAAGAAACTGCCTCGGCCCTCATAGGACAAAAAATTAGGTAGGCGGAGTAGACAGAAGAGAATGCTGGGAAAAAGAAGCTGAGTCAAGGAGTCGCCATGATTTTCTCCGGCTCCAGACAGACTCAGGTTAAGATCCTCCCTGGTAAGCCAGCTCGTGGGCTACACAGACTATTAGAAATGGGTTATAACAATATGTAAGAGCTAGCCAATAAGAAGCTTGAACTAGCCGGGCCAGACAGTGTTTAATAGAATACAGTTTCCGTGTAATTATTTCGGGGCATAACCTAGCCATGCGGGCGGCCGGGTGCTGGGGACACAGCCCTCCCGCCGCTCCTATTTCAACAGATCTCTGGGAGTCTGAGGCCAGCCTGGTCTACAGAGATAGTTCCAGGACAGGCTCCAAAGCCACAGAGAAATCCTGTCTCAAAAAACCAAAAATAAAAAAATAAATAAAATAAAATAAAAATAACGTGTTACATTTGTTTATGCTGTGGAACATTTGTTTAATGATGCAAAGATGTGTTGCATTCTTTTATGTTGCATTTGTAAAGCTGTGTTACTCTGCCTGTCTAAAACACTTGATAAAATGCTGAATGGCCAGTAACTAGGCAGGAGAGAGAAACAGGCGGGCTGCCAGGCAGAGAGAATAAACAGAAGAGGAAAGAGCGAGGAAAGGAGAAGGAGAGGAGATGCCAGAGGTCAGCCATGGAGTTAGAAGGAAAGAAAGGAATATAGACTAGAGAAAGGTAAAAGCCCAGAGGCAAAAGGCAGACAGGATAATTTAAGAAAAGCTGGCTGGAAACAAGCCAAGCTAAGGTTGGACATTCACAAACAAGAAAGTCTTTATGTATTTATTTTGGAACTGGATGGCGGACACCCAAAGAGTAAAACAAAAACAAAACAAAAAACAACCCCCCAAAACAACAACACTCACCTGTCAAGGTGGAAAGCAGCGATCTCCGCATTGTGCCTCTCATAGTCAGAGAAATAAAAAAAGTCAGGCGGTGTTTCCTGCTCTCTCGTCTGCCTGTAGAACAGAGATAAAGGGTCTGTCACAGAGAGGAGCTCTGGATGGAGGGGACCAGCTGAGGTGTGGGTACAGATGTGTACCAGCTGTCAGAGCCTCATCATCAAGGGTTAAATAAAAGGGCCAGTGAGGTGGCTCAGTGGCTCACTGGAAAAGGTACTTGCTGCCAATGCTGAAGATCTGAATTCAACAACCAGGACCAACAAGATAGGAGGAAACCAATGCCTAAAATTTGTCCTCTGACCTCCACAGGTTCTATGGCATATATACTGCCCACCCCACTCCCCTGATAAATAATCATATGTTTCTTTAAGAAATAAATTATAGGCAGCGGGGAGAGGCTCAATGAACTAAAGCACAGGCTTTGGATTAATGAGGACCTGAGTTTGATCATCAGGCCCCACATTTAAAAAGCCAGTTCTGGGGAGGCAGACAGGGGGATACCTGGGGCTCACTGGCTAGCCAGCCTAGCTACTTGGTGAGTTACCAGCCAGTGAGGGATAAAAACGAAGTTGGGTCAGTTGTGGTGGCACATGCTTTTAACCCCAGCACCCAGGAGGCAGAGGTAGGCCGGTCTGTGTGAGTTTTAGGCCAGGCACACTGGGGAGGTTAGAATTGGATCATGAGCAAAGTGAGGTTGAACTTGGACCACACTCAGGCCTTTATCCGTGGTCAGAGTATCCAAAATGTTTGAAAGGGTGTATTGCCTGTGTGTAGCTCTCAGGTAGATGGTCTGGTGTCGCTCATAGCCACAGCCACACGAAAGCTTTCTGTAGCATCTTCAGAACCCTTGGAGCAAGTCTCTCAACCCAAGGAACTTCTGGTATAAAAGTGCCTGAGGTCTTGACTCTTGGGGTAATTCTGAGCTCTCAGAACAGGAGACCAGCTAAGATGAGCAGGGAGTTTGCTGGATGGGCAGGGGAACCCTTAGATCCCCATAGGGCCCATCCTAAGTCAGGAAGTCTAAAGGACAGTTGGTGCTGGCCAGGGACTTTCATGTACCCACCCTGGACCCAAAGGCGTATCACCGGTCAGTCAGTTTAGGTATTAGCCCCATGCCGGGTGTGCTCTGTGTGTGTATGTGTGTGTGTACATGTACATGCATGTACACACACACACACATACGTACGTCACTGACTTAGTCATCCTCTCTGGGCACCAGCACCAGTCCTCAGAGGTTGGCACTTGACCATCCCTGTCTCCTTGCCAGCCAAAGACACAAAGCCAGGTGGCTTTGAAAGGTTAGTGGCATTCCACAAGAACCAAAGGTCTTCCCGCTGATGCAATTTGACCTTAACGATGTGGAACTGTTAGCCTGTCAATGCCCAGTGTCCTGTCTGAAGTAATCCTTCCCCCACCCCCACATCCACCCCAGGCCAGACAGATGAGAACACAGCCTGAAGGCTCGCCTCCCAGGACAGATCTTTCAACAGTTATGCTATTTTCTTTTCCAGGTATACAAATGAGGACTTGGGGCTCACCCCTGTTCTGTGGGCACCATTGAACAGTCTAGTTCAACACCATTGAACTCTGGATGCTCCCACAATGGAGCCACACACACCTTCCAGTCTAGACCCTTCTTTACAGACACAGAGCAGAAGTTGCTGGGCTCTCTGAGTCCTCAGCCCCACTGTCAAGTGAGGCTACCGTCCTACACACTGGTGAGGGATGAGATTTATATACAAGGTGTGTTTAAGGCTTGCTGCAGCCCAGGAATCTGCCTGTCTCAGCCTCCCTATGCTGAGGTTACAAATGCACACTTGATGTCCTGCATTGGCATCCATATGTCCTGCATTTTACATTGGTGTAGGGAACCAAGCAAGGACCCCCCCCCCCCGCTTGCACAGCAAGCCCTTTAGTGACTGAGCTATGTCCCCAGGGCCCCTAGATGGGAGGGTGCTGACAGACTGATAAACTTGCAGCATGGATATCCACTGGACACTTGGCGTGGGTCTCAGTGGAGTTGCAGTGGGACCAGGAAGGGCTGAGTCAGGCCATGGCTGCTGAGGGTCCATGCAGGGCTGCGAGGGTTAACTTCTGACCACCCATGACAGGCACGCATATGCCGGCACGTGCATGCTGTCACCTACACACACAGGAGCTCCATGGGTATTAATACCGTGCACATGTGTGTGACGCACAGATACCCGGCAGACAGTGCAGGCTGTTGGGGGACTTGGGAAAGAAGGGGTTAAACAAGCTCTGATGCTTTCCAGGTCGGGCTGTGAAGGGGAGCCTTGAAAAGGCAGCCTGATTACCCCCACCCATCTGAAGAACCTCAAAGAAGGGGGATATCGATGGTGGGGGACAGGACACAGACACATCAGCAACTTTCCTCCTGGAGTGCATGGATGCTGTCATTAAAATACAGCCTATAGGGGGCTGAGGATGTGTCTCAGTCCGGAGTCCTGGGGTCTCTTCTAGTGCCACAGAAACCAGGCACGGTGGTGCACACGGATAACCTAGTACTTGGGAAGTAGAAGCTGGAGGGACAGAAGTTCAAGGTCATCCTGGGCTACTTGAGTTCCTGACTTGTTAAAAAAAAAAAAAAAAAAAGGAAAGCAAACCACCAAACCTGTGCGGCCACTTCTGCTGACATAAGCTCTCTTCCCTGCCACCTCCTGAGTATCCCAGGAGGACAGCCAAGACCCCCACAGCTGGCCTTTGCCTGTGCTGTGCCCTCTTTCCCTTCTGGGAAGCTTGGCTTGGCTGTCTCCTCTGTATGGCCTATCCCGAGGGGGCAGAAACAGAGTGGGGGCTCCCTCCCCAGAGCACTTGGCAGGGTGACACTGGAAGGCATTGTTAGCCAGGCCCTGGGAGAAGCACAGGGATGACGGTGTTCCCTCCTCAGGACCCTGAGTACAGCCAAAGGCTTGCCTCGGAACTGCTGTGTGAGGACAAAGAACAAGAGGGCAGCTGATATCACCCTGCGGTCACCTCCACTCACTGACCTGGGGGCGACCAGGCAGCAGACCAGCCTTCCTGTCCACACAATCACCACCACTCACTGATCTGGGGACCACCAGGCAGCAGACCAGCCTTCCTGTCCACGCAGTCACCTCCACTCACTGACTGGGGACCACCAGGCAGCGGAGCAGCCATCCTGTCCACAATCTAAGCCTCTCCCTGCTCTAGCTTCCTCCACCCCGCTTGCTCCTTTGAGGAGGTGACGTTTCTCAGGTCCAAGTGGCTTAGAGCCCTGGGGCTTCCTGGAAGGGCCTCTGGCATGACCTGATTCCTGGTTCCGCATCCCCAGGTTCAGAAACTCACCTTCTCCCCTCCCCAGAAGCTGGCTGATGTCCCGGACCCTCAGCAACCAACTTCCATATACTTCACAACCCACAGGTGTCCCTGGCTCCTGGGTACCTTCTTTCCTGGAATAACTCAAGTGTTCCTAGAAATGACAACAAGTGTGTTCCATGCGGAGGAGTGCCTCTCTTGTTCTAAATGCCTCTCGGGTGCTCTACGTCCATTCTGACCTGGGACTCCTGGCATTCTGTTCTCTCTTCAAATGCTGCCCTGTGGAACCTTGCCCCCAAGGAGGGGCAGGAACAGTGCTTGCCCCTCGGGCCTCTGTTTCCCTTTCTGTACAATAACAAAGAGTACAAGAAGAGCCCAGAATGGTCTACAGGTAGAGGTGAGATAAAGGGACGAAGGGTCCTCAGATGTCCCCCAAATGACCCAAGCCAGGCTCCTTTCCCCAGGACACCAGCCATCCCCTGGCTCTCAGTGCACTCCACTGGAAGGCCAAGTACGGGATCCATGTGGGCTGCTGGTCACCCTGGATCTCTCAGAGCTGTCTGGTGACATGACTGTGGCTATGGATGGCCTCCACACTTAGGAATCAGTGTCTCTACCAGCAGCCATTCTGCCCGTGAGTATGTGTGTGGAGGAGTCTGTTACAAACGAGGGGCCCCACACACCTCTTCTGATCTGCTGGGCCAGAGTCCTAGTGCTGGGCCCAGGAAGCTGCATTTTAGCGAGTTTCTATGATTTCGTGCAACCAAAGTCAGGGCCACTGCCAAGGGCATCCCACAGAGGGTCCGGCTCCTGTAGGCTGGCCCCCTTATCATCCATAATTAACACTGACTTGCCTGTACTCAGCTGTCCCAAGGATGCCCGTAATCTCCCAATAGCAGAGTCTACAATAAACTCCTGGTGGACAGGGTTCTATGGGATCAGGGCTGTATTCAGGGTTGGAGACATTGCCATCCCCAACTCTCTACCAGAGTCTAGGGGCCACTGGTTCACTGGCATTTTGGAGCCACCGTACCAGGCAGAAGAAGACCCAAGATTTAGATACTTCATGCAAATTACAGGAAGCGCCTGATCAGCATGCATGTGAGGGAATCAAAGTGGGCCAGGACACAGAGCCTGTCCTCTTGCCCTCTTGTTCTCCAAGAGACAACTCTGGGCTGCCACACAACAGGTTGACTCCAGCTGCTCCGACAACAGGGCCCTCAGACACAGAGACCCTGCCTTGGCTCTGCAGTGTTGTCCTGGAGGCTGGTGGCAAGCCTGTCATTCCTATTTGGAGTGGCCCATCTCTCTTATTCCAGCACTGGGGAAGCTGAGGCGGGGGCGGGGGAGGGGGATGAATCACACGTTCAAAGATTATTGTCTGTAGAGTGAGTTCAGAATCAGCCTAGGCTACTTAAGGTGACCCTGTCTTGTAACAAACAAACAAGGAAAAAACCCAATACAATCCTGTCGTCATGGTAACTTATGCCAGCTACCATGTGCTCTGCTGACCTGAAACACAGCAAACAGACCCTGGCCTGTGGGAAGCAAGGCCACGTACACTGGGATCTGCTATGATGAGATTATACTTGGGCCTAGAAGCCTCCAGACTCTACTCGATGAGGTTATACTTGGGCCTAGAAGCCTCCAGACTCTACTCCTCTCTGTTGTCCAAGGCCAGCTCTAGCCTGGAACCTCTGGAGGCTTCTGGAACCCACCACAGATGCCATGCAGGCTCTGGCCTCTTCTATATCATGCTG